AGACTAGGTAGGACTCCCGTAGGCCTGTGGAGCGATATTTTCTCTCCAGTTTCCTAGCATTTTGGTTCATAGTACGCTGCTCTGCAATAAACCAGGGAACCTGTCATAGAACGGGGGACAGAAAGACCAAGTAAGGTGAGACAGCCAGTAGGAAAGTTCAAAACATTTATTAAAATAAAAACATAAACATACGGAACAGAAGTGAAGCCGCTGAGGATCTGCAGCTCATGGAAGCTGCTGGAGGGAGGCGGGGCACCGCCAATCACTGCCACTCTGGTTTAGGGTGAAACACAAGTAAGTGACCACGATTATCTGAACAGAAGATGACTCTAAAGTGGGTCACTTACCAGATTCAACAGTTCTGTCCATCCGCTCCATCATAGGCAGGATCAGCCAACAAGTGCTTTTCTGCCGATGCAGCAGCCCCTGTTAGCAAGCAGGACTCTGATCCAGGACAGGGATTCAGATCAGACTGGAGTAGTAATAGAATCCAGGAGTCCTCAGTCCGGTCAGGGGTTCCCATCCACTCAGGAACAGACAGATCCGGGTTCAAGGAATCCTTCAGAGAGTGAATGCAGGTTCAGAGTCCTGTGCGTCGAGCATCCAGTTCAGACAGAAACGCACAGAGAGGCAGAATCCAGCAGTCCAACCGTAGTTCAGGCAAACAGCGGGGACAGACAGGGCCAGTGGGTGAGAGGGAACAGAATCACTCGGGAAACACTGAAACGCTCTCACCACAGAATCACTCGGGAAACACTGAAACGCTCTCACCACTGGTTATGGAAACAACCCACCTGAAGACACTGGCGAAGAAGGGGAAATTGGAATGTCTGATTTAGCGCAGCTGTTTAATTCAGAAACAGAGGATGATGACTTTGATGGGTTTCTAAGAGTTTTTCATTTTCTGCATTGTCTAAGGCAGTACGCAGAGAACTAGCAACCCCATCAAGAAAATCATCAACCTGTGAAGGGGAATAAACTAAGCTTTTGCACTCTGCAGCACTGCTCAGCGACACAGAGGAGAGAGAAAGTGGAGTCTAAGTTTCTGATAGATTCAGCCTTTAACTATTGTTTAAGAACGAGGAGAATCAAGACCTTGTTGTTTTGTGTGTTACAGATTCTTTAAAATTACTATGAAGCTTCTACAGGGGATCCAGATTAGTGACAGCTTCTTCAAGGCAAAGTGTTATTTTCCATTCTGTTGATGCAGCAAATGGGATGCTGTGACTGGATCCATGTTGAGCCTCCAATTCTTCCTTTATGCTGCATGTACACTCACCGGCCACTTTATTAGGTACCCCA